TCCTGTCAATCACTCCTAGCCTATTAGCTAGCCAGCAGGGGGCTGGGAGGAGAGGGGTGCGTACCGTTTCTTGTGTTAGTTTGAATTTCTAGAAATTGGAATTCCTTTCCTCCAAAACATACCTTAAGAAGCTTTGAGATGAAAAAAAATTCTAATCTATTTAAAGATCAAATCCAAGGGTTAAACCTAGTCTTCAATCCATCTCAACGGCAGGATCTCTTTGTGTTCTATTATAAGAGTTGCAATGCCATATAAATTAGAGCATGTCAGATTTGTTCCAAAAATGGCAGGAAAATGCTGGCATCCTTTCAAGTAATAGGTGTGGCTGAAACAGCTTGTCAGTTTGAAAAGGTCAGGGTGACTTTTGTTTTGTATCACGGATATGAAAAAGTTTTTTTTCTTTTTGACTTACAGAGACTGCGGTTTTTAGACAACCCTAATTAGGTTTTCAAAAAGAACACAAGTGCTTGGGGTGTGCGTGCAAAGTGTGTGAGAAAGAAAATATCGCTGCTCCTCGTTGTATGCACGAAACAATGTCCCACTGCACATGAGGAGCATATGTGCAAGGGTATGCATGCGTGCATACTGTGTGCACACTGAGCGAACTCTCTAAATGACCCAAAGTTAGTCATGCCTGGCACTGGTCCCCCAATATGAGGGAAATACAATCCTTCTTCTTCTCTAACATTGAGGCTTAATAAAGGAAAATTGCAGTGCCCCTCTAGGAAAAGTCTTTATGAAAACAGGTCCTGTTCAGTGACTCACTCTGGAGTATGTAATCACAGGTTACAGGGGACAAACAAAATTACATTTCATACATCAATAGGTCCAACTGTGTCTATATGATCACTTAGCTGCTGAACCGCTGCAGATTTTTTATCCTTGCTGTGTGGCACTTCTCTCTCAGCCGCACTTCATGGTGTGTGGAGAGAAATATGTCTTTTTTCAACACAGGATTACAGCTATAATTACACACCAAAATAAAATAAAATGGAAAATGAAGAAGTAGAGTCTGTAAAACTAAGTGTTAGTGATGTTAATTAAGCAGCATCTACTTGACTCTCAAATTATTTCTTAAGCAATGATAGCAACACAAGCTTTTGTTTTTGGGTGTAAATGTCAGTTTGTCAGTTGGTCCACCATCTTAGTCCAGATTGAAATATCTTAAAACTATAACACTGATTGCCAATACATGTTGTACAGACATTCATGGTTCCCAGACAATGAATCACTTCTCCTCTAGCATTACATTCATGCTCCCCTCAGAATGAATTGCAACAGCTTTAGTGATCACTTAACTTTTAATCTAGTTTTTTCCAAATTCCCATCAGCATCATCTGTACTTTGTGTTTAGTGCTGTTTAGTAGCAAGTGGTAACATGCTATCACACTAAACTAAGATGGTGAACATGGTAAACATTATACTCTACTGCCTAACTTGAAGAAGTTAGCATTGTCATTGTGAGCGAATTAGCATCCTGTTGTTAGAATTAATCTCAAGACACCAGTTTTTTATGACATCCTTTGCTAGAATTATCATAATTTGAGAATGCTGTTACACTAGTTTTAACCCTGTTTGCTGCCTGAACATAATGTGCTCTGTGTATATGTACGTCATCCTTCAGACATGGAATATCATAGAGCTTTTTATTTCCCTATGGTGACTTTTATCTGTATTTTATCATATTTTAAAGTGGTGACACATTTAATCAGCTGTTGTGAGCGTCTGAGATCCAGAAGACTAGACATTGCTGTGTAATACACTCAACTGACATGATAGCAGGAGACAGAAAGATAAAGGTTTAGATAAACAGACAAACACAAACACACTCAAACAGACAGGGCTATGCTGTCATACCACTACAGAGACGCTGCTGATTTTACAGACCTCGGTGCCTGCTTCATATCATTCAAAAGGATGAAAGACTGCATTCTGCCTCTTTGCAATCAAGATGCACACTTAGATTTACAATATGTAACCTTTCTGTCTCCAGGGGCAAATGAAACAAAGCACGAGGTTTAATCAGTTTGGACTGTGATGAGATCATGAGAAAATGATACGCATCTTTTGTTTTGTCTTATCGTGATGAAAACAAACATTTTGAGTGAATGCATCAGACAAAATGCTCCACTTGGATGTATGGCTCTGTGAGTTGCTGGATCCAATTTACTTGAAGTCTGTTTCTCACAATGGCACAACAAAAGCAGAGAGGCACTTGAGCTGCTCATTGTACCGACAGAGTCACCCTCATATCAAATATAACCAGTGACACTAAGGAGTCATTCACGCAGGAACCCAGACATATTTCAAAATGATTGTACTTGTTCACATAATACTAGTTAGAAGATGCCACCATAATGACATCACACACACTGATATGGTTGGCATCCATGTGGTCAGTGACATAATGTGCCTACTATGTCACATTGTGGTGGGACATATAAATCATTGCTAGAGTCACTATCTGATAACAGAGGCACTACTGCTTAAAGGTTCAGCCGCTCTTATAGAGTCTATTGAGTGGGTGGTCTTTTGAAGCGGAGTCATATTATCAAAATGCCTAGTGGAAAGTGTCCTTTTGGCTGCTTAAAGAGACAAGTAGCACAATGTGTGTCAGGCTAAAGCAGAGATTATCGACATTAGTAAAGCAGGAATGCTAGTTACTACTTGCACAAGGTAGTTAAGAATGCCCAGTGGCACAAAAGGCCCCACATGAAGCCAGCCACAAAGAACAAGGCACCTCCAGCATGCAATGCAACTCTTAAGAAATAACAATGAACCCATGGCAGGTGATGAATGTACAGTAAGCAGTCACATGCCAGAAAGAGGGTAGAATTAGTGCCCTGAGGTCAGATCACCCACTTTCTTTCACCAACATCCACAGCTGAAATACCTGGAACCGCTTATAATTATTGGCTCATATTTCATAAAAAGCTTTATGAAAAGGGTTTAATCACTTTATGACTTAAAGATGTACTAGTCTTACAGCATATGAAGCTGTGCTACAGTATCGATAAATGTAGGTGTTTCCTAAAGGCACATGTTACTGCACCTACACTCTCTTTTGTGTTTTTGTTTCAGTATGTGTCAAGTAGCCTTTTCTCATGAGTCATGTGTAGGGTTTCCAGTTATTTAACTCTGTATGTAAGGGCACATGTGCCTCCAAATGTAGTTCAGATTAACATCCAAAGGGAACTCATTATGTTTAATGACTAAAAGTATGTTGCGCAGTTATGGTAATCCATAAGAATGTATTATGTATGAACTACCACTGTAAATACTACAGATATTAACAACCTTAGCCTGAACTTTCCTGATCATTCCAAAGTGCAAAGACTGCAAATTGTTAAGAGAATGTTACAAAACTTCAATATGAATTAAGGAATAATCCCAGTTCATTACACCTTAGGGGCTTTATCTTGCACTCAGCGCAACTGACTTTGTACACTGGCGCTTGTATAATTCCTATTTTGCACTCGACGCACATTGGAATTTTCCCTCCACCGACGCACGTCCTTAAATTAGAGAATGAACTTGCGGCGGTTCAGCGAAAAGAGGAGGCATGTTCCGGCGCAAATGTTCCCTGGTGCTATTTTGCTGTTTCAGAAAACAATTCCGCCACAGACCAGGAAAAACCTAGTCTAAAGTCAGTGGCGCTTATTCATATGCTATTTTAAGGGCGCAGACTTGAGGGGATGCGCCTGAGAGGCAGCAGCAACATCGCCACCCGGTCAAGACGGGCATTAATACTTTGCCGCATCCCGGACAGCTCCCGCTCCAGCATGTCAGACCCGGTTTGCTGCAGGAACGGGTGGTCCTCCGGCGTGTAGTGGGTCTGGATCCTCTGCACCTTGGTGTTTGCGCTGCTCCCTCCTCAGCTGGCCCTTGCGCACTGCTCGGCCCGTGCGCACTGCTCCCGAGGCCAGGGGGTTCTTCCTGCGAAGCTGCGTTACATTATTTGGATTTATAGTATGGCTGTGTTACATTTATTTCATGTCAATAATGTCACTTGTCGGTATTTTACGGCTCTGACGAGAACGTCGGTCTCCTCGGCTGTGAACCGCTCCTGGCGTGCGCCTGGCCAATCCACCGTTATAATAGCAATCAGCCATGAAACAAGCGCGCCTGCTTTTAAAGGGAATGTGAGATGACGCTCTGATTGGTTTATTGCACGTTACGCCCAAACCACACCTATGACTAATGTAGCTACTTCAGACCAACCCATTTTAGATTTGCGCCAGGCGCAAGAGTCATTTATCCCGCTGGCATAACAACCCAGTATCACGCCAAAGCGTGTAATACACACGCCGGTCACTAGGGCCTTGCGTGTCCTCCACACGCCTTTTATCTCACTAGCCTGTGGAGGACACGGTCATGGTAACACCTTAATATGAACGTGCAGTACCAGCAGATGGCAGTCATTTACTCATTGTCAACAACTATTACAACAACTACATGGAGCAGAGGAAGAAATCAGTCACGCCATTTTTACAGATCCCGACCCACCAGGTAAGTCCATGATATGTTGCTGATTTTAATTTTTGTTTATGATGACTTTGTGTTGGATATGTTCTAGGCCGCCTATGTGTCTTACTATGTTTATTGGATTTGATGAGAGTCGGTAGAGATCTGAAGGTTATTAACTTGAGATTAAACTGGAGGACTCGGTTAGCAAACGCTAGCTATTTTAGCAATTAGCTTTACAACTAACGTCATATAAAAGTATGTTTCAGCTTTAAATTATTAAGGGGAAGTCTTGGTTAATGTTAATTATGACCCCGCGACACTTTACGGAGGTCCGTTTTTTTTTCCTTCTCTCTCTCTTTTTTTTTTTTTTATCGTTTTCAGCAGGTCCGGTCAGCCAAGGTCCTTTTAAACAGCGCTAATGATGTTTTAGCCTGCCTATGAAGTTAACGTTATATGTACGTGTGCACAAGCATTAGAGGACTTCTTAAACTGTCCCCTAAAGGGACATGATAAAAAAAAGAAAAAAAAGAAACGTTTCTAGTGAGCTAATGTTGGATACAGATCGAGTGTTGTGGCGAATCAGCACATGGCTCATTTAAATATTAAAATTAGCCATGTGTTGATAGGTCACAACACGAAAATGTAACCAATGAAATAACTTATTTTGACACACATTTTAAGCCAATAAGTATTAAACTAACAAGGTAATGTGTCAGAAGGTGGACTGTTTTTGTTATTTTCTCAAAAGGAGGACAAATGAGTGTCGGACTGCAGGACAGGGCATTTAATTGCGGAATGTAACAAAAAAGGTTACAGATGAATTAGTTATCTAATATATAATAATATAATTAGTATCTAGTGCTCACAAAATAGTATCTAGTGCAATGCTCAGATGAGCCTCTCTGTGTATGTACATATTCCTACAACAAGTTAGTTTTGCAGCCACAATCTTGCAGTGAAGTTGTCTAAATGGCATATTTAATTCATTTTGAGGAATTCCGCACAATCCTGTAGATATGTATTGTCCACAATATCCACTGTGTTTTGCTAGCATGCTTGAAGTTGACACGTTGAAGATGACTAAGAATTCAGTATTTGCTCTTTGTGAAATCCAAAAAGGCTTGCTGCAAGATAATTGACCATGTTTTTATTTTCTTCTGTCCAACAGCTCCAGCCCATATTCCCTCCTACCTTTACCTCTCCTTGGCTTTTTCTATAGTAAACCAACGGCTCTTTTAAGAGCCACTCCTCTACTGCACTCGCTCTCTTTCTCTCACACACGCTCACACACCCCTCTCTCTCTCTCTCTCTCTCTCTCTCACTCTCTCTCTCTCTCTCTCTCTCTCTCTCTCTCTATATATATATATATATATATATATATATATATATATATATATATATATATATATATATATATATATATAATATATATATATATATATATATATATATATATATATATTTGTTTGTTTGTTTACCTGTCTGTTTGTCTGCGTCTGCCTTAAATGGCTGATCCGCGGGGCAGTGGGAAGGCAGCGGATGCTCTTTTCCTAGCAGAAAAGTTACTGGCTGAATATAAAGTGAGTCTTGAGTATTTGTGATAATACTAAAACGTGGCAATTTGTAAGTGTTCTGAATTTCAGTGTTATCATACAATGCACGCTTTTTCATGAAAGGAAAGGGAGGCAAAGAAAAAATCTGCATCCACTACACCTGCTGAAGGCAGTAAGCCTACTGTCCGATGGGTGGAGAGAGATGCAGATGGACGTCGAATCTTAAAAAGAAGCAGAAGTGGAGAGACACGGAAAAAACGTGCATCGGCTACAGGTATTTCATGTCTTGCAAGATAACTTGTCATTACCCTAATCAAATGAGTAATAACAAGTAACTGTGTCCATAGTATTTAAAATTCAGCTAATGTACAGTTTTTTTACATTTAAAACATAGACCACCGAACAGGGTGGGTTTTCCACTGTATGTCTGTTTCCTTTCTATTTGTCTATGGTGCCAAAAAGGCCACAGTTTGGATCTGTTACATTTGTTAAAATATATTTTCCAGGACCAGAAACATCTTTACACTACATAAGCTCAAATGTCAACTACTGTTATGCTAAACAAATGCAAAGATATGGAGTCAAGTTCCCTGATGTGTTGTCCCATTCTTCTGTTAAGGAGACTGAGATTTGTGTCAGTTAGATCTGTTTCCAGATTATGTCTTTTGATCCTCAAGTGCAAAGAATCTTCTACCGCTTATCCAGGGTCGGGTCGGGGGGCAGCAGCCTAAGCAGGGAAGGGAGGCTCAGAATCCAGATTTAACTGTGCAGCCTTATGTTACAATACATACTGTATATTCTATACAGATTGACTTTTTTGTCTTTCATTTTTTATCAATCTTTTCAGTTTCTGTTGCCCCTAAGGAGGCCTCTGCTTCTTTTGAGCCTGCTGAGGAGGTTCCTACAGTGACCCAAGACAACCGTTGTCAATATGTATTTGGTAAGATGATACTTAATTGTAATTAAGTATTCATAATAGCAACAGCGCCCGAGATCCACCCACAAAGCTACTTGTGTTTTGCGTTTGATACTTGCGTTTCAGATCGGCAAGATAGGGCCCTAGATCTTTGTATTGTAATTGTACCTTGTATTCACAGGTTATTGGCTGAAATCTGGGAATGCGAGGAGGAACAAACCACCAGTTTAGACAGATTTATTTAGAAGACATACTGAAGGCAAACTGTAAAATCATAACCCACTGTTGAAAACCTAAATCACAGTTTACACACAACTTCCTGGTTCAGCCTAACACACCTTCTGCAGTTTTCCTGTGCAATAAAGGATTATTACATACAGTAATATGATCGATCTGCTGGCCACTGCTGGAGTGTCTGGCCACTTGTGTGTTTTTTCCTGTGGGTCTTTGTTGTATCAATGTCCCTGTGTGCTTAAATTGCAGCATTTTCTTTGGTGAGCACGTTGTCATTACTGATGGAAGCGATGGCCAAAATATGAAAGTGAGATTCAAGTTGCAATATGTAAATAACAGTAAATATATACAGTCTAACACAATCAAATATTCAATAAGTGCTTCTCCATCCACCTGTTGTTATGTGCATTTTCAATTTGCACATAAAAAAGAGAGTGGAAATGTTTTCACAAAAAAGCTTTTACAAATGGTTGAGGTGTATAGCTAAAAACAAAGTACAATGGAAACAGACTTGGTAAATACATCTGTGTGGAACAAACAAAAATGCCATTTTTACATCACTAATCACCGCATGACAGCAGTGGATGGAAACAACACATTAATTAGCATTTTCTTTTGCCTATTTTATGGAAATTTTGTTAAATCTGACTAATGGCATACAATCTGTGTTAAATATAGTAAGTCCAATGATTTATCAGACACACCCATTCTGTATGCTGTTTCTCTGTTGTGTAAACTGATAACATGTTGAATATAAAACTCAAACACACTAATAACATTGGGTTGGGCTCCAGTGATTGTGGATATATTTTCATTTTCCTACATTAGAAAATATTCTTCCAATAAAATCAGACTATGGTACATGAATCCTTTGAGGTTTTTCGAACTGGAAAACTCATACAGTTATGCATGATGGACATTAGAATAAACAGGGGAACAGAGGCCCATAATACTGGAGTTACAAACTTCTGTCTTGCTGACAGGAAGAGTGACCTCTGACCAAGCTGAACACACACACACACACACACACACACACACACACACAGTTCATGCAGCTACAGCATCCTCTGAACCCCCTCTCTCTCCACCTCTCTCCACCTCTATTACTCACCTCTCCAGCAGCACACATTCACTCCCATGGCCATCAGGCCTCAGGGCCCCAGATCACAGCCTCTGACTAATTTATGCTCAACTGTGCTGCGAGGCCACGTGCCTGTTCATGTTGTTTATGTGGTAGCTGCTGACAGGGCATCAGAGGTTCGACACTTAACTCTTAGTTTTTCTGAACTCTGAGGTCGTGCATGGCACAAACTAAATTCTCTTTTTTATAAAGAATGCTGTTGTGAATGTCTTCCAAGACAGAAAGTGAAGGCTAAGTCTATAATTTTGAGTTCAGGCTGAGGTCCAGGTTGGTTATGCGCTGCACAGAGAGACAAATTGAGGCGATGTTACTGACATTAATTAGTAAGGGAGGTGAGAATCTGGAGCATTTTAAAAGGTTTCAAAGGCTTGTTCCAGGTTTGGAGAAAAGCAGTGAGGCACTGTCACAAGACACTATAACTAATGGATGCTAGTTCTTCATGAGGCACATATCATAACTGCCATAGTCCTCTGTTTTATGTCTAAATGGGACTCCTGGGCCCTTTACTTTCTCTCGTTTTCTCTCTCATTCTGTCTTTTCAAGAGCCATAATTATCCTTGACAGCTGCTGGAAAACTTGGAAGATAATTTAGAAAAAAAAATCTTCTGTTTTGACATAATTACCTCTGTACAGAGAGCAGCTCGGACCCCCTTTGAGACTCACTTTCTACACTTTCTGCTCTAGTAAACAAGCTGTGTCTGAAAGTGCTGTGTGGAGGGTTTGAGCATTGTGTTGCAACATCGAGGAATGAAAATGAGAGTGTGAAAAGTGGGAAGAAAATGGGAGTGACAACAACTTTTCAATGAGTGATGTCAAAGTGGAGGATTGGAAACTTAAGGGTAGAGCCATTTATACAGCCCAATATAACAAATCATAAATTTGCCTCAATTGTGTAAAACCTGGATTCAGATAAAATAGTGCTTTGACTTTTTAATTTGAAATAAGGAAAAGGCAAAGAAAATTAAAATACAAAGAGTACAGGAAAGACATAATCACTGCTGTACAATACTGTTTCTTTGTGAGCTTTCCAACTCCTATCAGTGACACATTGAGCTGGTGGTGACTACGAAGATCCATCATTACTCTCAATTTAGCACTGAGTCAAGCGCCACCCTCTGTCCTTACACACAAGCATAAAGACTGATGATATTTTCATAACCCGGTTATGGTGAGGTAATAGGCTATAAACGAAGGCCTCTACAAACAGCTGCAGTGAGGATGACATTGGCCCCAGACCCTGGGATCTAAAATGGACTGCACCCTTTTCCTCACACCTAACCCCTAAAATCCATTTTCAATCCAGGGACGCCAGCAAACTGTCAGTATTGTGACTTAAAAGGTTGGATTCTCTTTCTACACACAGAATAAAATATATATCATTTGTCGTCGGTCTTTTGGGTATAGTTAAGTTGTACTCTAGCGCATGCAGTGTCTGCTCATGATAAATTAAAAAGGTGCCATGTCAAAAGCTGACCATTTAAAAAGAAGGAAAGAAGGTGTGGTGGCTTAGAATATTTGTTTTCATTCCCACTTTAATAATACTTTCCAGAAAGACCCGTACTTGGAAAGCAGCAGTGATGACAGAAAGATTAAATAGTTTGCCTTCCGTTAAAAAAATGTAAAAGATCCTTAATTAGACTTGTAAATGAACAATTAGCCAATAATAAAACCATAATTGAATTTGACAAACAGCTTAATGACACACTTAAAAGTCTGAGATAATAAATAACAAGAATGTTCAGGAAATCCCACTTGAGTCTCGAGTCAGTCATCTAAATGCATTACTCACCAGCGACGTTATAATCAGCCATCATGCATAAAATAAACACAGTTTACGATCTTTATTTTGAAAAGTAAATGGAAGTTGGAGCTACAATGGCCAGAGGTTCTGCCAACATCTGTATGTTGTCACAGCTGTCCACATGAAACATGATGAGCGTATGCGTGTTTATGCGAGTGTGGAGGAGGAGGGGGGTCGTGACACCAGCCATTCAGATATCTGACAGCCACAGATAACGCTACTATTCTGCACGGTCTCTCTTGATGCCAAACAGGGAAGAACATTATCTGCATTTGCAGTTTAGCCTATTGCCAGCTACAAAAGTAAGAATGACAACATTGTGTCAAGTTGACAACAGTGTACAACGTTCTTAAATGAAAGGTGGCGAAGTCGAGTTAGGCTACTGTTGCTATGCCTGTCAAGCTTTCCAGTCTGGCATGGCAAATGCGGTTCACAGTGATAATGGTGGCAGATTTAGCATTTAAAATTCACAGTAATTTCTGAAACAATGTTTCCTTTATTTCAGACACAGGTAGACAAAAGCGTCTCATTTCTAGCTGCTGACTGCCGTTTCTGAAATATTGGCTTCTGAAAGATTTTATCAGCTGTTGCTTGCTAGCTAATTAAGCAGTAGCTCAGCAATGTGGCTGAAAATGTCTCTGTGACTGTACATTGTTTCAAAATGGTCTTAAATCATCAACTTTTTAAATGCCGATCTTACTATAGCTCAGTGCACACCACCAGCATGTGAAGAAATCCTCAGAGAACAGTTGATGATTGGACAATCACTGATGGGTTTAGTGAAAGGTCAAGTAAGAAAATACATTTTAGTAAGGTTATATATTGGATTTAGAACATTAATATGGCAGCAAACAACTATTTGCTATGTAACCATATAGTCGAGTAATGGCGTCCTGAGCAGAGAATGATGTCACAGGCCCTCCTCCTGTGTTGTTGTCCATGTCGGCCTGTGCTTTGTTTATAGCCACAACGGCTGGGCGTGTGTGGAAATTCATGTTAATCCCTCCGTGTGCAACTGTAGATCGAGCAACTGTACCGCCTGTTTTTATTATCTACAGTGGTGAATGAAGGATTTATTCCAAACAAAAAATAGTTGGTGATTGTTGTAACAGTGGTAAGACTAACAAAGTCTGTCTTGGTGAGTTTTGTTCCTGTTAAATTTAAATGAAGTTGAAGTTGAAGTTATGATGACCTGCACGGTAAAATTACCATTGGTTAAAAAAAAAAAAATATCTGACTCTTAATATTATGCCTATAGGGATTCTTTCCATTATGTTGTCTTGGAATAATAATCTGAGCCTGTCAGTGGCAAAAACAAGCATTTTTATTGGGCATACTTTAACCCCAAGGATTAACTACATTACTACCATTGCAGCCCGTTTCACAAATATTTTTAGGCATTTCAAATAAATAACCATTGAATATGTTTTATCAACATTCATTTATGAATCAAAATCAATATTGTCTCTTTTTATTTACATTATGAAAATGGTTTTCAGTTGGAAGCCTGACAGCTGCACTGAAATATTCTGAATGACAATCTACAAATTGAGGTTTACTGTGGACCACAGTGATGTGTTTGTTTAGCTTTGCAATTCCTCTCGGTGTGTAACTGTGGTGGTTGTGGTAGGAATAGGGGTCCTTGGGGACAGTCGGGGCAGTCATCCCAGACTAGAAGGGAACAGGTGGCTATTCCTGTAACCAGGCCTTTCCCTAATATCAGTGCGCAGAGTGAGCATGGTGTTAACACTTTTACAGCTCCCCTGGGCAACTTAAGACCCATGGCAGGCCTGTGTAAAAGCCTGTGGTGACAGGTCACCTTGGCAGAAGGTGGCACTGTCTGCCTGGGCGCTTCGCCAGGTCACATCAGGTCAAATCTGTGGACAGACACACACCCTCAGCATCAAGATGCTGCTGGCGCCTGAAACACAAAAACAGGTGGTGTGTCTAGTTACGCTTTACACTAAGGACTGTATTATCATTATACCAAATGGTTAGTGTCAAAATGACAGTATTATTAACTAAAAAACACTTGGGACATTGGCACATTGTTCAATTTACCATTATAAAAAGGAGGTCTTGGACAGGAAGTTTAACTTGGTAGTGGAGCTCAGATACAATATCGGAAATCTTTGTAACATTATACAAGTCTGGAG